TATAGCTATAGCTAGAAACAACCAATGGTAAGATGATCTGTGTGGGGTATAGCTATAGCTAGAAACAACCAATGGTAAGTTGATCTGTTTGGAGTATAGCTATAGCTAGAAACAACAAATAGTTAGATGATCTGTGTGGGGTAAGCTATAGCTAGAAACAACCAATGGTAAGATGATCTTTGTGGGGTATAGCTATAGCTAGAAACAACCAATGGTTAGATGATCTGTGTAGGGTATAGCTATAGCTAGAAACAACAAATGCTAAGTTGATCTGTCTGGTGTATAACTATAGCTAGAAACAACCAATGGTAAGTTGATCTGTCGGGGCTATAGCTATAGCTAGAAACAACCAGTGGTATGTTGATCTGTGTGGGGTACAGCTAGAAACAACAAATGATTAGATGATCTTTGTGGGGTATAACTATAGCTAGAAACAACCAATGGTAAGTTGATATGTCGGGGCTATAGCTATAGCTAGAAACAACCAATGGTTAGATGATCTGTGTAGGGTATAGCTATAGCTAGAAACAACCAATGGTAAGATGATCTGTGTGGGGTATAGCTATAGCTAGAAACAACCAATGGTAAGTTGATCTGCCTGGGGTATAGCTATAGCTAGAAACAACCAATGGTAAGATGATCTGTGTAGGGTATAGCTATAGCTAGAAACAACCAATGGCAAGATGATATGTGTAGGGTATAGCTATAGCTAGAAACAACCAATGGCAAGATGATATGTGTAGGGTATAGCTATAGCTAGAAACAACCAATGGCAAGATGATATGTGTAGGGTATAGCTATAGCTAGAAACAACCAATGGCAAGATGATATGTGTAGGGTATAGCTATAGCTAGAAACAACCAATGGTAAGTTGATATGTCGGGGCTATAGCTATAGCTAGAAACAACCAGTGGTATCTTGATCTGTGTGGGGTACAGCTAGAAACAACAAATGATTAGATGATCTTTGTGGGGTATAACTATAGCTAGAAACAACCAATGGTAAGATGATTTTTGTGGGGTATAGCTATAGCTAGAAACAACCAATAGTTAGATGATCTGTGTAGGGTATAGCTATAGCTAGAAACAACCAATGGCAAGATGATATGTGTAGGGTATAGCTATAGCTAGAAACAACAAATGGTTAGTTGATCTTTGTGAAATATATAGCTATAGCTAGAAACAACCAATGGTAAGTTGATCTGTGTAGGGTATAGCTATAGCTAGAAACAACTAATAGTGAGTTGATCTGTCTGGGGTATAACTATAGCTAGAAACAACCAATGGTAAGTTGATCTGCCTGGGGTATAGCTATAGCTAGAAACAACTAATCATAAGTTGATCTGTGTAGGGTATAACTATATCTAGAAATAACCAATGGTAAGTTGATCTGTCTAAGGTTTTGCTATAGCTAGAAACAACCAATGGTAAGTTGATCTGTCTTGGGTATAGCTATAGCTAGAAACAACCAATGGGTAGTTGATCTGTGTAGGGTATATCTATAGCTAGGAACAGCCAATGGTAAGTTGATCTGTCTGGGGTATAGCTATAGCTTGAAACAACCAATGGTAAGTTGATCTGTGTAGGGTATAGCTATAGCTTGAAACAACTAATAGTGAGTTGATCTGTCTGGGGTATAACTATAGCTAGAAACAACCAATGGTAAGTTGATATGTCGGGGGTATAGCTATAGCTAGAAACAACCAATGGTTAGTTGATCTGTGTAGGGTATATCTATAGCTAGGAACAGCCAATGGTAAGTTGATCTGTCTGGGGTATAGCTATAGCTAGAAACAACCAATGGTAAGTTGATCTGTCTGGGGTTTTGCTATAGCTAGAAACAACCAATGGTAAGTTGATCTGTCTGGCGTATAGCTTTAGCTAGAAACAACCAATGGAAGTTGATCTGTCTGGGGTATAGCTATAGCTTGAAACAACCAATGGTAAGTTGATCTGTCTTGGGTTTAGCTATAGCTAGAAACAACCAAGGGTAAGTTGATCTGTGTGGGGTATAGCTATAGCTAGAAACAACTAATGGTAAGTTGATCTGTCTGCGGCATAACTTTAGCTAGAAACAACCAATGGTAAGTTGATCTGTCTGGGGTATAGGTATAGCTAGAAACAACCAATGGTAAATTGATCTGTCTGGGGTATAGCTATAACTAGAAACAACCAATGGTTAGTTGATCTGTGTAGGGTATTGCTATAGCTAGAAACAACCAATGGTAAGTTGATCTGTCTGGGGTATAGCTATAGCTAGAAACAACCAAGGGTAAGTTGATCTGTGTGGGGTATAGCTTTAGCTAGAAACAACTAATGGTAAGTTGATCTGTCTGGGGTATAGCTATAGCTAGAAACAACCAAGGGTAAGTTGATCTGTCTGGGGTATAGCTATAGCTAGAAACAACTAATGGTACGTTGATCTGTGTAGGGTATTGCTATAGCTAGAAACAACCAATGGTAAGTTGATATGTCTGGGGTATAGCTATAGCTAGAAACAACTAATGGTAAGTTGATATGTCTGGGGTATAGCTTTAACTAGAAACAACCAATGGTTAGTTGATCTGTGTAGGGTATAGCTTTAGCTAGAAACAACCAATGGTAAGTTGATTTGTCTGGGGTTTAGCTATAGCTAGAAACAACTAATGGTAAGTTGATCTGTCTGGGGTATAGCTATAGCTAGAAACAACCAATGGTAATAACCAAAATGCCTAGGGTGTCGATATTTGGCCAGAAGCAAACTGGGATGAAGGGCTACAAAGTTTGTTCAAATGAATGACCTTCACCCATATTCAAGGTCACAGGGGTCAAATATGTTAAAAACTTAAAACAACTTCTTATCAATAACAAAAATGTCCAGGGTAATGATATTTGGCCAGTAACATGCTGAGATTAAGGGCTACAATGTTTGTTCAAATAAATGACCTTCACTTATATTCAAGGTCACAGGGGTCAAATATGTTCAAAATATTTAAACAACTTGTTCTGAATAACCAAAAGGCTTAGGATATTGATATTTAGTCAGTAGCATGCTGGGATCAAGGACTACTATGTTTGTTAAAGTGAATGACTTTGACTTATATTCATGGTCACAGGGGTCAAATTTGTTTAAAATCTTTAAGCGACCTCTTCTGAATAACCATGGGTCCCAGGATGTTGATACTTTGCAAGTTGCATCCTGAGATGAAAGGCTATAACATTTGTTCAACATAATGACTTTGTTCGACTTTCAATCACAGGGGTGAAATGTTTTAAAATAAATTAACAGGTTCGTTTGAATGAATTTTAATCATAAATACTGATATCACTTTTAAGGTTACAAGTGTGAGATTAATACCAGGTGAGCGATGGGCCTCTTGTTGTAAATAAATGTATCAGAAATTGTCTTTGGGAAATTTAAAGGATGAAGCTGGGTAAAATGGACAATTTTTAGCTCACTTGGTCCAAAGGATCAGTGTGAGTGATACAGGCATTCTTTCTGGTTTATCTGAAGAATAAAACCTGGTTTACTTAGGAGTAAACATTGTTAAATAGTTGAGGAATAAATCTGGGTTTGTCCAAGGAGTATGACTGGTTTATTTGAGGAATAAAACCTGGCTAATCTTGGGAATAATGGAAATGTTAATAGCATGCTACAAATATGATTAAGAGGTTGAAACATGAAATTCTCTAAATTACTTTACTTTTTTTCAGTTTCAGTGTTTGGTGGAGTCATGCAATAGCAAATTTTCAACTAGGAAAGAAAGAAAAAGTCATGTTGTGAAAGTTCATAAGTACCCAAGTAACTACAGATTTGACCAGGAACAGAATAAACTAAGTGCTCGGTATGTACATTAGATAGCTATTGTAGACTTTGTTCAAGCCCATTTCGTGAACTTAAAAAATGTTTTCTGGTGGTTCAGCTGTACATGAAATGTCCAAAGTAGGTACACCTGCCATATTGAAGTCAATGTGAGTGGCACCTTAAATTGTCCACAGTAGGTCCACCTGCCATATTGAAGTCAATGTGAGGGCCACCTTAAATTGTCCACAGTAGATACACCTGCCATATTGAAGTCAATGTGAGGGCCACCTTAAATTGTCTACAGTAGTTACCCCTGCCATATTGAAGTCAATGTGAGGGCCACCTTAAATTGGCTACAGGAGGTACACCTGCCATATTGAAGTCAATGTGAGGGCCACCTTAAATTGGCTACAGGAGGTACACCTGCCATATTGAAGTCAATGTGAGTGCCACCTTAAATTGTCCACAGTAAGTACACACTCTGCCATATTTAGGTCAATGTGGGTGCCACCTTAAATTGTCCACAGTAGGTACCCCTGCCGTATTGAAGTCAATGTGGGTGCCACCTTAAATTGCCCACAGTAGGTACCCCTGCCATATTGAAGTCAATGTGAGTGCCACCTTAAATTGTCCACATTAAGTACACACTCTGCCATATTTAGGTCAATGTGAGTGCAACCTTAAATTGTCCACAGTAGGTACACCAGCCATATTGAAGTCAATGTGAGGGGCACTTTAAATTGCCCACAGTAGGTACACCTGCCATATTGAGGGAAATGTGAGTGTCACCTTGAATTGTCCCTGTACCATCGGGACGTTAAGTTGGTGAAGGGATTTCCTATTTGGCTACCTGGATCTCTTTACCATCGGGACGTTAAACTGGTGAAGGGATTCCCTTTTTGGTTACCTGGATCCCTGTTGTCCACATTAAGTACACACTCTGCCATATTTAGGTCAATGTGGGTGCAACCTTAAATTGTCCACATTAAGTACCCCCTCTGCCATATTTAGGTCAATGTGGGTGCCACCTTAAATTGCCCACAGTAGGCCCCCCTGCCATATTGAAGTCAATGTGGGTGCCCCCTTAAATTGTCCACATTAAGTACACACTCTGCCATATTTAGGTCAATGTGAGTCCAACCTTAAATTGTCCACAGTAGGTACCCCTGCCATATTGAGGTAAATGTGAGTGTCACCTTGAATTGTCCCTGTACCATCGGGACGTTAAATTGGTGAAGGGATTTCCTATTTGGTTACCTGGATCTCTTTACCATCGGGACGTTAAACTGGTGAAGGGATTCCCTTTTTGGTTACCTGGATCCCTGTATCATCGGGACGATAAACTGGTGAAGGGATTCCCTTTTTGGTTACCTGGATCCCTGTACCATCGGGACGATAAACTGGTGAAGGGATTCCCTTTTTGGTTACCTGGATCCCTGTATCATCGGGACGATAAACTGGTGAAGGGATTCCCTTTTTGGTTACCTGGATCCCTGTATCATCGGGACGATAAACTGGTGAAGGGATTCCCTTTTTGGTTACCTGGATCCCTGTATCATCGGGACGATAAACTGGTGAAGGGATTCCCTTTTTGGTTACCTGGATCCCTGTATCATCGGGACGATAAACTGGTGAAGGGATTCCCTTTTTGGTTACCTGGATCCCTGTATCATCGGGACGATAAACTGGTGAAGGGATTCCCTTTTTGGTTACCTGGATCCCTGTATCATCGGGACGATAAACTGGTGAAGGGATTCCCTTTTTGGTTACCTGGATCCCTGTATCATCGGGACGATAAACTGGTGAAGGGATTCCCTTTTTGGTTACCTGGATCCCTGTATCATCGGGACGATAAACTGGTGAAGGGATTCCCTTTTTGGTTACCTGGATCCCTGTACCATCGGGACGATAAACTGGTGAAGGGATTCCCTTTTTGGTTACCTGGATCCCTGTATCATCGGGACGATAAACTGGTGAAGGGATTCCCTTTTTGGTTACCTGGATCCCTGTATCATCGGGACGATAAACTGGTGAAGGGATTCCCTTTTTGGTTACCTGGATCCCTGTATCATCGGGACGATAAACTGGTGAAGGGATTCCCTTTTTGGTTACCTGGATCCCTGTATCATCGGGACGATAAACTGGTGAAGGGATTCCCTTTTTGGTTACCTGGATCCCTGTATCATCGGGACGATAAACTGGTGAAGGGATTCCCTTTTTGGTTACCTGGATCCCTGTATCATCGGGACGATAAACTGGTGAAGGGATTCCCTTTTTGGTTACCTGGATCCCTGTATCATCGGGACGATAAACTGGTGAAGGGATTCCCTTTTTGGTTACCTGGATCCCTGTATCATCGGGACGATAAACTGGTGAAGGGATTCCCTTTTTGGTTACCTGGATCCCTGTACCATCGGGACGATAAACTGGTGAAGGGATTCCCTTTTTAGTTACCCGGATCCCTGTATCATCGGGACGATAAACTGGTGAAGGGATTCCCTTTTTGGTTACCTGGATCCCTGTATCATCGGGACGATAAACTGGTGAAGGGATTTCCTATTTGGTTACCTGGATCCCTGTTCCATCGGGACGATAAACTGGTGAAGGGATTTCCCACTTGGTTAAACTGTATCATCGGGAAGATAAACTGGTGAAGGGATTCCCTTTTTGGTTACCCGGATCCCTGTACCATCGGGACGATAAACTGGTGAAGGGATTCCTGTTTGGTTACATGGATCTCTGTACCATCGGGATGATAAACTGGTGAAGGGATTCCTGTTTTGGTTACCTGGATCCCTGTACCATCGGGACGATAAACTGGTGAAGGGAATTCCTATTTGGTTACTTGGAACCTGTATTATCGGGACATTGATGACTCTTTTTGTCTGTGCTTCGTTTATATTTATTGTACTCTTAATATACCTGTATCTTAATTGACACAGGTGAAAATAGGAATTATTCCTTTTCATATCGCCCCCGTCAATTTTGACGGGAGTATTATGGTATGGGTTTGTTCGTCCGTCCGCCCGTCCGGCTTAAATTTTTGTTTGTCCGGTAATCTCCTCCTACATTTTTTGACCGATCTCTATGAAACTTGGTATACATTATAATCATAATATGAAGTT